TTTTTTTTTTTTTTTTTTTTTTTGTTTTGTTTTGTTTTGTTTTGTTTCACGTCTGCTTTTCCAGTTTCAAACAGGCAGGGAGGTCTCCTGAAATTTCCGTGAACAGCTCTTCTCTCTGGAGAGCTTCCTCATGAAATGCTTGGAGGAGCCCCCAGCTCATTGCTCTGACCCTTTTATTTGTGGGTGCACCACCTAACCTAATGGCCCTATTGTTTTGGGGTGTTTTTTAAAGGGGGGTGTCTTCTTTTAATGGTTGGGGTATTTAATTTTTTATTTTGGTAGCCTTCCTTCAAGAGCTTGCCAGCGGCCCTTCTTACTTGGTGAGTGATTCTCAACCTTGGCTACAGGCAGGAATCAGGGGAAGGTTTTATATCTGCAGATAACAGCGCCCCTGCCCAGAGGGTCTGATTTGATGGCTCAGAGATGCAGACTTCAGTGGAGACCTTTCAAGAGCTCCCTGGGTAATTAACTCTAAAGTGCTGCAGAGACGGAGGTTGGCACTAGATCAGCATTTTCAGACTTCCCTGTGCCAGGGGCAAGTCACCTGGGAGTCCTCTAGGATGGAGCGGGCCAGTGCCCCTGGGGGCCGGGGGCTGAGGTTCTTCATCTCTAACCAGCTCCCAGCTGAACGGAACTTGTTGGAGACCCCCTGTCCGAGTCTACTTCTCCCCATCCCCAGGTCCAGCCAGCTCTGGCCCCTCTCACCCTTGTTCTCCTCCTGTCCTAACCCTGCGCAGACCTCACGGTACTGATTGGAAGAAATGGGGCCTTGGGGGATGTGCGGTTGTTTGTTTCTGAATATCTAATAGCAAGGACCCCGATTCTACTCTGATATCAAAGATGATCTGGAAAAAGCAAAATGCTTAGCTCAGCACCGGGTGTGATGCTGCTGTGCGGGCCCAGAGTAGGTATGAAAATCATTTCAAACCAAAGATATTTAAGACTCAATAGATGGAGAAAGAAATGTAATTTGAACTTGCCTTATCTGACAAAAGGCAGAAAGTTCTAGAAAGTGAAGCCATCATCCCTCTTCAGGGTGAGTTCTTCTCCCAGGCAGAACAAGAATAAACCTACCATCCTTGTCCTAACCAGGAGTGCTTTATGGTCATGAAGGAGGGATCAAGACGCGTTGTGCCTGCATAACAAGCAGGTCATAAACTTTATAATCTCTCATTTCTTTTCCTTTCCCTTCCCTTCTCCCTGTAAGTTAGGTACATAGGTCTTTTTTTTTTTTAAGAGAGAGAGAGAGAGAGAGAGAGAGAGATTTTAATATTTATTTATTGTTTTAGTTTTCGGCGGACACAACATCTTTGTTTGTATGTGGTGCTGAGGATCGAACCCGGGGCCGCACGCATGCCAGGTGAGCGCGCTACCGCTTGAGCCACATCCCCAGCCCATGGGTCTTTTGTTTTAAGCATTTATTAAATTACTACTTTTGTAAGTTCCTCTATGCTCACAAATTAAGTTTTTTTTTCCTTCCTGTTACTCTCTCATCAGTTTAATTTGCAGGCCTCTAGCACAGAATTTAAGAGGGTAGAGGAGGAGTTTTTTGTCTTTGATTCTGGGTCAGTGGAGGCTCTCTTAAGCACTTCCCACATGTCTACATAAGTTCTCTGCCCCTTTCAGCCCTTCACCCAACATTTTCCCTTATATCACTGTTTACCTAAGTGAAAAACAACAACAACAAAAAAAACCCACCATCAAATCATGTTATTTAGATGAATCTCTGCCTTGGTTTGTAAGCTGCTTTCTGTCCTTTTAATAAGAGTTCACAGACACTTAAAAATTGTTTTTTTGTGTGAGCATTTCCCCAATTACTGAAGTGGTTGATGACTAGATCAGTACTGAAACTGATGGACCCCAGTAAGAACCCTCTGTCAAGAGCAAGTGGCAATTTTTCTGCAAATATCACTCAAATATCATCACACAACAGGCCAACCTTTACATGTGGGCAACAGAATCCTCATCTGATCATTGCATCCTAACTGAAATGTGTCCTGACTTGTATGCATTTTTCATGACTCGATCAAAAGAGGGAAGTCGTCTTGCATAAATCATGACTTTTTAAAAAAATACATGAAATAAAATTGTTCAGCCCTTAGGTATGTCTCACCTACCTAAGAGCCAATGATTGTCTAATCAAGTCATAATGGATAGCTGCTTGTGTTGGCCAGGGGTAGCATCCAGATGTTTCTTTTTCTTTCTTTAAAAAATTATTTATTTAGATGTTTCTGAATCCAGTTTCTACCTGTAGCAGCCAGAACCTCCGGGTTTGGAGGAATTTATCTGAGGAACCTCTGTGTCTTTTCTCCTTTCCTCTCTTCTTTCTGCAGCAAGAGTGTTTTCCTTTGTTCCAGCCGGCGGCCCTCGAGGAGGAAAGCCGGCCTGTGTGGACGCCCCGCAGCAGTCACACAAGGGGATTCTTCCAGTGCCCTTGGCCCGTGGCGCCCCACTCCTGTCACAGGAATCCATTTGCGGGGAACAAAGAGGGCTGTGGAGCCTGCAAATTGGTTATTCCGACCATGGCAGGATCTGGCTTTTGTCTAGCTTCAGGAAGGTTCCAGGCACAGCGAGGGCTGACGGTGCTGGAGCTGATAGAAACTAGCCAGGGCTGGAGCAGGACCAAAGCAACCCAACGCACACTGTTTATATGACCAACTGTCCCAAGTGAGAAGTCCGCGTCAGGGGAGGGTTAGAAAGGCTGCACTGGACGTTGAGGCTTTCGAGTAAATTGTGTCTAATAGAATAATAACCACCATTACTGTTGACATAATTGCAGCTAAGTGTGCTAAGTGTTTTAAGCACATCGCTTCACTTGGGATTCTGCAAGTGAGGTCTTCGTATCGCCACTCTAGAGGTGGGGAGACTAGTATGGAAGTTTGCTCTGGGGGTGCTCCGCAGTGGTGCGCTGGGCCTCCTCCCTAGTTCTCTTCCTGTCTTTAGGGCACACCCTTGGAGACCCGCTGGATGTTAGGCTTGGAGGTCACTTAGAGATTTATGTCCCCTATACATTTTTGGTAGTGGGACTGCAAATTAGCACAACCACTCTGGAAAGTAATGTGGAGATTCCGTGAAAGACTAGGAACAGAATCATCACACGACCCTCCTGTGTCTCGGGATTTATCCAAGAGAACTGACCTCCGCACACTATAGAGATCCAAGTACACCAGTGTTTACAGCAGCTCAGTTCACAACAGCCAAGTCAGGGCACCAGCTAGGTGCCTGCGGATGGATGGACGGACACCGAAAATGTGGTCTGTATGCACAGTGGAGTTCTACTCAGTCATAAAGAAGGGTGAAATCGTGTCATTTGCTGGTAAGTGGATGGAACTGGAGAACAAACCTCATTCTAAGTGACATTCGCCAGACTCAGAAAGTCAAATGTTGAATGTTTTCTTTCACATGTGAAAAGTTAGAGAGAAAAATAAAAGAAAAAAAAAGGGGTCTCATGAAAGTCGAAGGGAAGTTAGTAGTACACAGGTAGGACACGAGGGGGAGGGAGGGAAGGAACTGGGGGGTGAAATCCATCACGTCTTGCTCTGTGCACAGGCGAAGATAGCTCAGTGACATCACCTCTGTTTGACTCTAATGCACCGATTAAAAATGATTAAGTAAATAGAAGGGAGACCCGTAGGATAGAGGAAGGGGACTGCGGATGGGAGGAGAGGAAAAGGAGAAGCATTAGGGGATGCGACACAGCAAGTTATGTTCTATGCATATATTAATGTCATAGTGAGCCCCACTATTACGTGTAATCATGAAAAACCCCTAAGATAGCACATGTTGTATAGGATGTGGAGAAAGGGTGACCTCATATACTGTTGGGGAATTTAGTGGAGTCCTATGTAAAGTAACGTGGACTTTCCTCAAAAATTTACACATAAAACTACTATATAATATAGGGGGAAAAATGCAGAGGCTTAGAAAGTTTACCCAGGTCCGCCCACGGTCGACTCGGGAAGAACCAGGAGTGGAAATGCAACTTATTAAGTCTCTCCAGCGCTCCAGGTTAGGTAGATGTCGGATTTTCCTCCAATTAATTTAGCTACACCCTTTCACTTAAGCGCCTGTGCTTTCAGATGACTTTGTCACCTGCAGACGTGGGGCCACGCCCACTGAGTTCTGTTAGCCAAAACACACCTCTTAAACTCTGGAAGCCTGCGGTATGAATTGAATAAAGAATGGGAAAGGAATCTCTGTGGGCAAATCTCTTCTGACGTTGGAACATGGTCTCTGGCTGCCCGTCATTCAGATTCAGAAGGGGCCAAAAGTGAGAAAAAGATGTGACCAGATCATCCCACGGTGGCGCTGTGGCTACCGGTTGGGGCAGCCCATAGTTTAAGAGAGGGTCCTAATTCCTGCAGTCTTTACCCCTCCCTTCTTCACTCTGGCGCAGAGCAGGAGTGGCCCCTGTGGTTTGAGCACCCTTCCCCGGGCCCAGAGAACTCTTGACGCACACCTTCCTTTGCTTTTCCTTATCTCCCAAGACAGATTCACTATTAGCCATATTATGGTTACAGGAACGGAGAAGTTTTTTCCCCCCTTTTAAAATCTGTTCTAGTTAGTTCGACAGGACAAGGATGCATTTCAATTCCTCGTACGCACGTGGAGCACCACTTTTCATTTCTCTGGTTGTACACGGTGCCGAGCCTCAGCACAGTGCAGTCATACCTGTACCTTGGGCAGTGAGGTCCTTCTCCTGCCACCATCTCCTGCCTCCACGCCCCCTTGCCACCCCCCACCCCAGGAACGGAAGTTTCTAAAGGAATAAAGCAACCAGCCTAAGAAGGCTCTGCATTTTACCTGAGTCCAAGTGATCGAGGTGCCAGGGGTCGGTGGCAGACGACATGGGGGACAGTGTCAGCGGGGAGGCCCCGCAGTTGGACTCGACCAGCTCGCCCTGGATGTGCACCTGGGCCGAGGCGTTGGTCTGCCTCAGGGCGGCCTTGAGTGGGGCGATGTGGTTGAACTGGACCCTGGAGAGGCAGCCTGTGAATCCCGGGGTGTTGTATTTGTGAATCTCCTGGTCAATCTTCCCTGTTTCTAAAAGAAAAAGGAGAGAGAGGGTTTCCATTGTATTCCAGCTGCACAGTAGACTTGTCACACGATGCTGTGCCCAGTCTGACTTTGGGGTTTCAGCTGTAGACAAAATGTTAATGGGTGAAAGCATCTTAAAGAACACCTGAGGAACACTTTGACAGACCAGAGGGCAAGTAACTTGGCTTTGCTTGACGTAAATTTTGATATAAAACATGATCTGGACTTAGTGGTAGACACCTATATCAAACTGTATGCAACTAAGTCAGAGCTTCCTACAGACAATTCAGAAACTGTTTAAAAATACCAGGAAGACTTTCAAAATGGGCTTTCTCTTATATTTGATATTTGGAAGAAAAGCCATAAGATACATATAGGTCACTTATCACTGAATATCATGGCCTACAGGCCTCTCGTGAACACAGGAGCCATTGGGGAGCTGCCTGTGTACCTGGCACCTGTTAGAGCTCTCTTGTCTGTTCTTCCAGAAGACCCCATTGGAAGCACCATATTTCACCTCTGCATGACCTCTGCTACTAGCCCTCTGGAATTGTTTTAGTTGAGTCTTTTAGATTATAAAACGTATTATTACGATGGATTCAGTTGTCAGGTATTATTATCAATTTTGAAGAAATAAATTTTGAGGAGGTATAAGAACAGAATGCATCTTATGAAATGTGACCATGAAGCCTACTGTTGACCTTTGACTACTAGGAGCTTTAAGTGTGTTAAAATCTGTAAAGGACAATTAAGGGAATTAACTAGAGTTGTGAGCTCACCAAACAGAATTCAGTACAGATCTTGTCTTTATCAAATGAACTGAAAGAACAAGTTACAGTTACAGTTTGAGTGGAAGAGCTGGCCGCGGTTGTTCCACATCTGGTTGTTGCTGTTACACCCCTTTGTTGAGCCTACACCTTCCCAAGCCTACACCTTCATTTTAGCAGGTAAATGTTGAACACTTCTGCTTCATGGTCAAGACAGAATCAGAGGCTGTTAATATGGGCAACTTGTCTGTTTTCTGCTTCGTCAAACCTACAAAATAAATGTTTTGCGGTTTATCTGGAAATAATACAGAAAATATTGCTGTTATTTTTGGTGAAGAAAATCGATTTTGTATAGTTTATTTCAATCTACATAAAATGTGAATTTTGTTAAAAAAATGTTAATGACCAGTTAAACCTTAAGGATGGGGACTTCTCTGGGAGGCTGAAGCAGGAGAATTGCAAGATCAAAGCCAGCCTCGGCAACTTAGCGAGGCCCTAAGCAACTTAGTAAGACTGGGTCTCAAAATAAAAAAAAATAAAAATGGGCTGGGGAGGTGGCTCAGTGGTTAAGCATCCCTGGGTTCAATCCCTGGTTCTAAAGGGCGGATGGGGGTGGGAGGGGTAAGACTTCAGTGATAATGATCAGAATTTTGCATTACTATAGAACATGGGAGGGTGATAATAATAATAATATCTGGATAAAGCAAACAAATACCTTCCTATGACCTTTTAGCTGCTTTGAGATACTGCTGACACTAGCAGCACTCACTTGGTTTTTTTTCACTACAACAAATTATATTGTGTTAAATAAATAAAATATATATTTAAAGTACATGAAAAGACCTCTGTACCCACTTTTGTGGTATATGAAGCAGACTCCTTTTTAAAAATTTATTCAAATTTGTTATATATGACAGCATGATGCATTAGAATTCATAGTACACATATAGAGTACAGTTTTTCATATCTCTGGTTGTACACAAAGTAGAGTCACACCATTCGGGTCTTCATACATGTACTTAGGTAATGATGTCCTTCTCATTCTGCCGTCTTTCCTACCCCCACGCTCCCGGCACCCCCACCACACATCCCCATTATGGATCAGCAACGTTTTATCAGAGAAAACATTCAACATTTGGTTTCTTGGGATTGGCTTACTTCACTTAGCCAACTCCATCCCTTTACCTGCAAATGCCCTAATTTTATTCTCTTTTAATGTTGAGTAATGTTCCATTGTGTATATAAGCCACATTTTCTTTATCCATTCATCTACTGAAGGGCATCTAGGTTGGTTCCACAGTTTAGCTATTGTGAAATGGGCTGCTATAAACACTGATGTGGCTGCGTCCCTGTAGTACGCTGTTTTTTAAGTCCTAGTCACTTGGTTTTGATTGATTTTTCTCCTTGTTTCCCCCCATCTTCCCTGACCCTCTTAGACATCTTAAACAAGGCCCCCTGCTCAGACATCCTGTTAGTTAATACTTCTTTCTTATTTTCTCCTTCAAAATTCTTTATTTTCTTTTCAAAGAAAAAGAATCCCTGTGGCTTATAATTGGGCACATTCCTTTTTCAGTGTCCAATTTTCTAGGAATTCTGAGGTTTACAGAATCCCTGCTAATATCTGATGGAGGATTTGGAGTCAGGAAACCTTCCCAATCCAATCACAAGCATATGTGTGCACTTAGGACTCACCTCCGCACCCCCTGCCATCTGAGAGGTCATCATTCTCCCAAACTAACCCTTAGTTCAAGGGTGGCCTAAGTAGAGGCCGTCCAGTGTCCTGGTGACCTTTTTTTTTTTTTTTTTTTTTTGGCTCTCTGCCCTAATTTCAGAACCCAACAGAAACTAATGGAGGAATCTGTAAATGCTGAAGGTGTGTCAGTCTGTGAGCCAGGCAGACCGGCCCCAGAGCCTCACGCCCAGTGTGGCTCTCTGAGCTGAGAAACTGTTTGGTAAGAGTATCACAGTCTGTGGGGAGCCAGGGAAGCGCATTTACCTGGACAACCAGGGACCAGCCTGGAACTAGGTATTGAGGAGAAGGAAAGAGCGTTCCCGGCTGACCTGACCGTTGTGGGGTTTGTTGTGCTGAGGGAACCGTGGGAGTCTCATGGACCCCCAAACAGCACTAGACTGGGAGGGGCCCTGACTGCCACATTAAGATGTATTCAGCAGAAAACTCAACATGCTCAGGCTGCAGAGCTCTGTGATGAGAACCGTATTTTGAAGACGTCTCCAGTTTCTTTCTAACATAGCAACTGCTCTGCCCAAGGGCTGGCATGGCCGCCCAGGCTCCTGCAAACTCCCCAGGCTAAAGAGTCTTCCTTTGGCCCCAGGGCTGAGGCAGGGTCATGTCGAGGACCTGGATAAAGTGCCCAGTGGTCTTCCCACTTCCTCTTGCACTTGCTTGCCCAGTACCAAAGCCGCGGTCTCTTCTGTCGTGAGTGGCTTGGTTTTGTTCGCCCTGCTAGAGATGTGGGCAGGGAGCTTCTGATGCCAGCTCTGTTTCACAGGGTCTCTGCAGTTTCCCAGCCTTGAAGGAGGCCAGCTTTCCCTGTCTGTTTTAGTCAGCCTTTTTCACTGCTGGGACCAAAATCCCTGACAAGAACAATTTTAGAGGAGGAAAAGGGGATTTGTTACTCAGGGTTTCAGAGGCCTCAGTCCGTAGATGGCCGGCTCCTTTGCTCTGGGCCCAAGGTGTGGCAGAACAGTATGGTGGAAGGGCGTGGTGGAGGAAAGCTGCTCAGGACAGGGCCACCAGGAAGCAGAGAGAGAGAGAGCTCTCCTCACCAAGGCACACTCCCAGGGACCTACCTCCTCCAGCCTCGGCCTGCCTGCCTACAGATACCACCCAGTTAATCCCTACCTGGGGATTAATTCCCTGATTGGGTTAAGGCTCTCACAACCCAATCATGTCACCTCTAAACCTCTTGCACTATCCCACACAGGAGCTTTTGGAGGACCCCTCCTATCCAAACCCAAACACTGCCACGTCACCGAAAGTGAGCGGTTTCAAAGCCACATCTATCCAAGGGTTCTCCATTTAACGTGGGGTTCCCACTGCTTAAAGAGATGGGCCCAGGAGAGGGACACCAGACACAGGATGGTTGTGGAGGTTCAGGAAATGGGCTTCGGATGGTGGATCAGAAACCAGAAAACAGTGGTGGCAACAGGGGCCTCCAGCGTCAGGATGTGGGGTTGGGACCTTGGTAGGAATGTCAGCAGTGTGGGCAGAAGGCTGGGGCGGATGGCAGGAGCCAGCCCTGGGTGGATGATCTGCTCGGGCTTTCCCATCGTCTTTGGGGATCTTTCACTCTCTTCTGTACCTTTTCTTCTTTCTGGGTTTTCTCTCTATTAGGGGAAATCTCCAGAATTCAATTGTTGTTCCTTCCTTCCTGAAAGGTGACCATGGTGCAAAAACAAGAATTCTGATGCCCAGAAAATTGGTATTTTCAAATCTGGATGTAGTTTCAAATCTAGCTGTTGTGACTCTTTACTAAAGAATCCGGGCTGGAACTGGTTCCCCTGGGGGACAAATGGGCCATAAATGCTTCTGATCCTTCGGGACCTGAGGATTGCAATGTGGACCATGGGCTGGGCAGTGTCAGAGCATCTGCTCCACATCTGGGTCAGCCCGTGTGTGGGTGCTGGGCCAAGTCCTCTGTATGCAGTGCTTCAGGGCACCTCCAACAACCTGTTAGAGTTTCAATCTTTTTTTTTTCCTTCTGATTGAACCCTGAGGTACTCTATCACTGAGCTAGATCCCCAGTCATTTTTACTTTTTACTTTGAGACCACAAAACATATCCTCAAATGATAGTGCAGTTGCAGGATACTCTTGAACTTGCAATCCTCCGGCTTCAGCCTCCTGAGTCCCTGGGATTCGTGGCGTGCTCCACCGTGTCCGGCTATCATTTGGATCTTGAGTGTCCCACAAAGCCCTGTGTGCTCAAGTCCTGGTCCCCAGGGAGGTGGTGGGACCTTGAAGAGGTGAAGCCCAGTGAAAGGAACCGAGGTCATTGGTAGCATGCCCTTGAATACCGGGCTCTAAGACTCGCTTTCTCTCTCTCTTGCTTCCCAGCTGCTATGAGGTGAATGAGCCTTTCCTACCCTGGGCTCTTGATACTATGGGCTGTGCTGCCACAGGCCCAACACAACAGGGCCAAGTAACCAGGAGCTGAAATTTCTGAAACTGTGAACCAAAACAAATCTTTCCTCTTCTTAAGTTGTTTTATCTCTGCTA